AATAATATAATGTTACTTGCTAATGAAAATTATTATTTCCATGAAATAAATAATTTCTAATTTAATTATAAGAGTTTTATTGAATATTTATTAAAATCAATGTATAATAAATAATCAATTGTATCAAGTTGTTAGTGTGACCCATTAGTATCATATGTTATTTAGCAATATCACTTTAATATGACTCTTGAGCATACTAGACCTTTCAATAAAAAAATCATAGAAGAATAATAACATAAAGTAGTGTTTTCACGTCTTCACTTTATTTATTGTCTTCATTTGAACATATTCCTCTCTCTCTCTCTCTCTTTATATATATATATATATATATATATATATATATATATATATATATATATACATATATAGAGAGAGAGAGAGAGAGTCAGGTTCTTTTGAGAACCAAAAAATTTCTGAGAACTTGCGAACTCATAATCAACTCATCATTTTTCAACACCAAAAACACCAATATTCTCCGAATGGTGCGTCTAAGCCATATCTAGACTCAAAAAAAGATTTGACAATTATGCCACTTGTTTCAATTATGGAGAAAAATGGCATTATGCCAATGATTATGTCAATGGTACAAAAAGATGTTACCATTATAGTGAAAAATATCATGTGTCGATGAATTTTCAAATAAGAAACAAGACAAGAAAGTGGAAGGAACTAAGAGAAATGATCTCATTAGGCAAATTGTGTAGGTTATATTATTAGTAAACTATATACCACATCACTTCGGTTTGACTTAAGTGTCATATAATTGTTGATGTCTCATGAATTTGGTAGAAATTTAAACTTATCATTGTAAAGAATTGAAAGTAAAAGTATTGTCGAAATTGCAAATGACATAGGAAATTTGTGTTAGTAAAGTATATTCAAATATAGTTGTTGACTCGGGATGAAGTGAAGTTTAATGAAATAAACAAGTAGTATTTATAAGTATTGTTTAGAGTGTTCATGAAATAGAGGATCTCAAGATTTAATTTTAAGATGTAATCATAACCTAATTGGTTCTAACAAGCATTTATCCCCGAATAGATATCTTATGACTTGTAGATGAGTAAATTCATAAATTTATGGTAAAATAAGGATTACTCTCATATTTCTTGGTGATTCCAAGGACTAAATCTAAATCATCCTGAAGAGGTGGATAATTGTAATATCTTCATTTTAGGCTTGAAATATTTTCTTATTTAGTAGAAAAATATTTTTTGAAAATAAAGTAGAATAAAAATAAATTAATTAAATGAATTAAAATTTTAACTAACGAAAAAAAGAGATTATACTATTAAATAAATGGTTAAATATAAAATATAAATAAATCATTATTTTGAGAATTTATATATATGCTAAACAGTAAATAATTACAAGGAGGGACTAGAAGTGTCAAAATGACCAAACTTGGTACAACTAACCTTGACTTAGTCATATGACTAAAATGATCGAATCAATGATAGAATGGGTTCTAAGTGTTAACTTGGAATGTTTAATTAAAAGTTTACATCAAATGGTGGCTCAAATTGGAAATAAGAATATAGAAGGGCCATTTTTGCCAAATACATATTTATATATACAAGTGCAACTAGTCTTCTCCCCATTCATACAAAGTGATCAAGAGATTGAAATGGAAATGCTCCTTCCATGGAGTTTTGAAGAGAAAAAGATGAATTTATGGGAGTTTGAAGGTTTAGTTTGAAGATCTTAGCTCAATTTATCAAGTAGATGCTTTACAATGTATAAATTCACTATGTCTCTTCATCTCTTACATTTTAGAGTTCTAATTCACAAGTTTAATCTGAAATTTAGAGTCATTAATTAAGTTCTATTAGATATTGAGAGTTGAATCAAGATTACGTTATGATTCTAAAATCAAACTTCTCATTTACACGCTTAATTCACCATATGCTAGAACTTGTTTAGAATAATCAATGTATCATCACTTCATCATTGAATTGTATGATTCCATCTTTACTGATGGAAATGGAGAATTAGAACTCTGTTTTATGAAGAAGTTGTACTCTGACCATTAAAACTCATGAACTAGCTTAGTTTATTAAATTTGAAAATAATTCCATAATTAAAAGGTTAAAATGGAGATATAAAAGTGATTTAGAGATACATGTTATGTATTTTCAATAAATCATGTGGTATTATGAGCTTAATGAATGATTCCAATAGAATACATACACCATTAGAATGGAATGAAGGAAATCCCAAGTAAGTTGTTTTCAAATGTGTTTTATTCAGTAAAATGATATTATGGAAATGGAACTAATAGTATTTGGAATATTTAAAATGGGTAAAACAATAATAGAGCATATAATCATAATAATTTAATCTAGACATTTGATTTCCATTGTTGATATTGGAATCACATATTATGGTTGGAATGAAATAAGATTAAGCACTTAAAAGGTATCAAGGAAGTTCATGAATGATCAGTTAAGTCACAAAATACTTGTTGAAATCGTGTAAGATGTTATTAAAGGTGTATATATTAAAGGTTTAATACCATAAAAGCCATAAGTTTTACACCCCAATTCTAAATTAGCCCTAAATGGATTTTTTGTGTCTAATTAGCCTAAATAATTGTGACCTCGTTTCAAAACCGTTTTATCAACCGGTTAACAACAGATCAAGGTACGCAGCCGGTCACCACTCTCCTATACTACTCGATCGTTCGTACACCACCAAATATCACCTTTCACAGAAACGTCTTGCATCAAAAAAGGGTTTCATGTAGTTGGTCTTAGGAAGAAGAAGGGTTTGAAAAGGGTTTCTTACACCATTGTTGCATGCAAAAAAGCTTCTATTTTGAAGTTGAAAATCACTGAAGTAGAAAGGTACGTGGGGTGCCAATAAGAAGTTGATGTGTATGTGTGTTCTTATCTTACATAATCGAGTTCCATAGTGTCACTTACAAGTATAATTTTTCATCTTGAACATATGGCTTCATCATCTGGAACTAAAAAGGTGAAAGGGCCTGAAAAGGTTTATGTAAGGGACGAGGACTCTGATGATGATCTCATAGATTTCTCTTTCCTGGATTTTGCACCAGAGACCTTTAAACCAACCTCAAACCTGTCTGATGACCCATTCCTTAACATATTATGTGATGAAAATATGCTAAGGAGGACTCTTGATGGAATGGGAGATGATGATCAGGAAGCTGGTGTTAAGGATCCAGAACATGATCATATTGATGATCAAAATGACGGTGAAGTAGGTGTAGAGTACAGGGTTCATGATCCAGACATACATTGGAAACAAATGAAGCCTGTAGTGGGAGAGTGTTACGAGTCCCCTTCTCAACTCAGGTTTGCATTAACTAACTATGCAGTAGCTAATGGATATCAATTGTGGTTTATGAAGAGTGATAGGCATAGAGTGATTGCTAGGTGTGGGAAAATATATAAAAAAGACCCATGTCCCTTTAGAGTTTATGCTGCTTGGAAGTATAATGAACGAACATTTCAGATTAAATCTATATGTGACATACATCTATGTGCTAGAAATTTTAATTTTGGAACTTTGGTTAGTTGTAACTGGTTAGCCAAACATTACCTGAAGGATATTATTATGAAGCCAAAGATGACATTAACTGAGATGAAGGAAGATGTACTTAGGATGTTTTCAGTAAATGTATCTAAGGGGCAATGTCACAGGGCTAGGACAAAGGCAAGAGAGATGATAGAAGGTAAGTTAGAAGAACATTATGCAAAGGTATGGGACTATGCTGCAGAAATCCTCAGGTCTAACCCAGGGAGCACTTGTAAGGTGGGAGTAGATTCTAATGCAGGTGGCATGAACTATTTCAAAAGGTTTTATGTGTGCTTAAAGGCTTTTAAGGATGGTTGGAATAGGGGTTGCAGACGTGTGATAGGTTTGGATGGTTGTTTCCTAAAGGGTCAGATCAAGGGAGAACTTTTGACTGTTGTTGGAAGAGATGCAGACAATCATGTATATCCAATAGCATGGGCAGTGATTGATGTAGAGAACAAAGATAATTGGACTTGGTTTATTGAGCTGTTAGTTGCTGATCTTGACCTTGATTGTGGTAGGGGTCTTGTGGTTATTTCCGATCAGCACAAGGTAAATTATACTGTAAATTTGTTTAATTATTATACATTTATAATAATTTTGTTTATTCAATGTCAGGGTCTACTACAAGCTGTTACAGAACTACTTCCATATGTTGAACATAGACAATATGCCAGGCACATCTATGCAAACTTCAGGAAGAAATACACTGGGTTAGAGCTCAAGAACCTGTTTTGGGAAGCTGCCAAAAGTACTGTGGAGGGGGACTTTATAGCAACAATGAAGAAAATCAAAGACATAACTCCCAGTGGCTATGAATGGCTGATTTCAAACAAACCACATTCTTGGTGTAGGGCATTTTCTCTCATGGATATGCTTGTGAGGCTATAGAGAATGACATATCAGAGTGTTTTAATTCGATGATCATTCACATGAGAAAAAAACCAATTCTAACAATGTTTGAGGAAATCAGGATTTATTTGATGAATAGGTTTTATCATCAAGCTGCTACAGTTTCTCAATGGAAAGGTGACTATGGTCCAAACACCTTAGAGGAGATTAAGGAGTTTGGAAAGCATATGAGGTATGCTTATTTGATTTTAATTGTGATCTTAAGTCTATACATGTACATTACTAATTACTTATAATTTTAGGTTCTGGATAGTAATACCAAGTGGAGGGGCATTATTTGAGACAAGGCATGGATATTCAGCTTACAAGGTGGATTTAGATGCTCATTCTTGTTCATGCAGATTATGGGAGATATCAGGGTTACCATGTGTCCATGCTCAAGCTGCAATCAATTTCACACATAGAGATCCAACTGGTTTTATTCCTTTTGGTTCCATAAGGAAAAGTTCATAGAGATATACAGAGACAACATCTTACCTGTTAATGGAAGTAATATGTGGCCCTATACTGAATATTTGAAGCCCTTACCACCCCTTGTTAGGAGAATGCCTGGAAGGCCAAAAACAAAGAGAAGAAGACATGCCTCAGAATGTCAGGATTCTAAGTTCCCAACTCAAAAGGCAAAGGTTAGCAGGACTGTTAGGTGTGGGAAATGTAGGGAACTTGGTCATAATAAGCTGTCTTGTAAGAATGGAGAAGGTCCAAGTGACCCTGTCCCTAAAAGGAAAAATGGTAGACCAAAGGGAGATGGGGGAGGGAATTTAGCTGTGAACATTGCAAAGACACCAAGGAAAGTAGATAAGGGAAAGAAGAAAGTTGTTGAGGGCACATCAAAAGAAGCAAATGAGGGACAAAATAAAGTTGTTGATCACACATCAAAAGAAGCAAGTGAGGGAAAGATGAAAGCTACTGAGGGCACATCAAAAGAAGCAAGTAAGATGATAGATGTTGATCAGTCAATTTCTCCTTTGAAGAGAATGAAGATGATGGCAAGGAGGGGAGGTAAGATCAAATATGTAGGGAGAATAGGGGCTCTGCATGGTAGTATAAGTCAAACTGTGGCAGGTGTTGATGAAGTTGTACTTACCTGCCATGAAAAGCTTGACCATGAAGATTTTGAAACTATTAAAGATCTGCAGGCATCTGGATATGATCATGGGGAAATTGTTGAAGCTTTTAATAAGGTGTGTAGTTATAAATTTAATTATTAACACAATTTTCTTGAACATTATGTGATAATATGTTTATGTTAATTTCTTATTCACGGTTGACAAAAGAGAGGAAGGAGATGTTGGTTGAGAGTATAGTTGATGAAGAGACCAGTCAAGAAACACAAGATCCGTTGGTAAGAAAAAGGAAGCCCTCAGAAAGAATTATCAAGATTAAGTTGAAAAAAGCAGTGCATGATCCAGATGGAGGTGGTTCAACAACTGAGAAAGCACTTACATTGGACTGATGTTGTTATGGATGGGGGGTTAATTGGGCATAAATATTTTGATAGCCCTTTTTTGTGAAAGCATCTTTTGGTAACAAGCTTCCAATTTGTTGACAACATGTTATCTTTTGACTGTAAATTGTAGTAACATTGTCATTTTGGGAAATCATCTTTTGGCTTGTAAACATTGTTGTAAAATTGGAAGTTTGGTTCTGATTGTTACCCTCCATGTATGTATTTGGCTATTATGTTTATAAAGATTGTGGTTTGTAGTAAGTTCAAATTTCAATGTCAGTTTGTAATGGATAGTAAATTGTCAATTTCTGGTTAATGCTTTTCATATTAATTGTCCCGTAGGACTATGTATTACAAGGGTACCCATATTACAACCATCAAAATGTTTTCAGATGCTATTACAACTGTGCCAAAATAAGCATCTAATACAATTTCACCTAACCAACAACTTCACAAAAGACTAAACTTAACTTCCTAACTTCCTATAATTTCACCAGCAATACAGTCTCTGTTACCAACATCACTGCAAATACCATGACCATGATGAACATAAGCTTCATCATCAACGTCAACCTCCTATTTTGATCCACATTCACCTGTTCCAACTGAGCATTGTCATCAGCCATACTAACCAGAGCTAAATGCATTTGGTACATGAGGTTTTTGAAATCTTCACTAGGCAAAGGTGGGTCCAACCACATGAAGAACTTACAATACCTGGAAGGATCCTGCACATTTTTATGACAAATTTGCCCTTAGTCCCATAACAAAACTTTATACTGGATCAAAGAGTGAAGAACATACCTTATAGTTGGTGCATCCCCTAAATTTTCTCCCAGGATTCTTGTCCGTCCACGAAATTGAGAAGCTAGCCTCAACACCACAACGACACAAAACCATGGGGTTGTTTCTGTTCCTAAAATTGACATTAACATTTTGAAATCCTGAAGTCATTGACCCTGTAGACCCTGTAGATGAACTAGCCATGAAGAAGTTGATGCGTGGAAGAAGAAGTCAGAGAATGTAGAAGTAGGAGGTGGAAGATGGGTTTCTAACGGTAAAACCCCTATTTGTAAAGGGGTAACCGGCTGACACCGGGGAAACCGGCTAACAGGGTTTGAGGAAAAATTCAACACATACATAATGGCTAATTAGACACAAAAAATCCATTTAGAGCTAATTTAGAATTGGGATGTAAAACTTATGGCTTTTATGGTATTAACCCTATATTAAATGAGAGGTTGAGGTCTATAGAAGTGCTTAATTGAACTAATGAGGCATTTTAGAACTTAACCATTAATTATGTTAATTAGATGTAATTGAGTAAAATATAAGTTCATGGACTTATTTCACCATTTAGAATCAATCGGGTAAGTTATAGAAGGTTTGGATGCATAAGGGCAAAAGTACAATTCTAAAATAATGAAAAATTTGTTTATGTGCATATTGGGCTAAACCTGGGCATGCCTAACCCAAGGAAAAGTAAGCTCGGACGGGTTTGACCCTATAACAATGAAAATCTCCAACTATCATTCGGTTTGTACTCTAGACCCCTAGTTCCATCCATATCTCTTATATATGCATGAAATGAGTATCCCACCTATAAAATTTGTAAAAACCATTATGTAAAGGTATTCTATTCATTTTGTATCATTATTATGGTATTCAATATGTGGTTTTTATAAGGATAAATGTATTTGAAGTGTAAGAAAATATAGCAACCAATCAACATAAGTACATATCCAGAGTACATGTCCCTAATATTATATTTGATGGTGTATTGGTATTATTTATACTATATTGTTAGGGCCAGGATCCTCAAAGCATTCAGGATCCTCAGACCTCTTCAAATATTCAGGATCCTCAACTATCTCAGGATCCCGACTATTATTGTTATTATTATTAACTAATATTTATAACGGTTATATTGGGTACATAACTAACACGTGTGCAGAAATAGTCAAAGGGAGACTTATTCTCAACAGAGTTTCATTTCAACTATGCTAAAGACCCGGAATACCAAGTCAAAAAACGTTCACAAAGCTGGTCATAGAGGATCTCGGGGATATCAAGCATCTTGTTAGCTAGTTTAGACTATAAAATGACACATGTATCTCACACACGACTCACTCTGCTTACTCTTAGCTTACTCTGCGAACGTTTTCACATGTTCTTACTGGAATACTCTCTGTAATCATCATTTTACATTAATAAAATCATCAAGGAAAGTGATCGTTATCACCTCCCAAGGTTTTGTGTCGGAGATCCTAGCAAGGATCAAGGGCTTTCCTTGTAAACCATTGTGTCATTCTCTTTATCTTTTTCTACCGCACAACTCGAACATCACATCCAGATCAATTTGGTTGATTAATACTTGTGTAATTTTTGACCAAAACAATTTGGCGCCCACCGTGGGGCCATGGTGTTCAAAATCCTCGAAAGATCATGTCTACACAACCAATCCTTTATTCATCCTCGCTCCTTCCATTCCAACCAAAAACCTACCACCTCCTCCGAGTGGACCCCCTGGTCAGAGAAAAACGCCTGGCACTTCCAAGAAAAACACCCCTCCGGTCACTAACCAAGGAAGTTTGGGATCTTCAGGACTCCAGGATCCGACTGCCTCGGTCACTACTGCAGAACTCTTCGCTATGATGAGGAAAACGACGCAACAGGTGACTCGGCAGCAAGAGGAGAATAGAACACTGCTTAGAGAAGTGGAGAGGATGAAGGCGGAGTTTCAGAAATCCCAGGAAACAACGCCCACAGTTGTACAACCAAGGATCCTGAACTTCGATAATGCAGGATCCTCAGGAAATCACCATAAGAACACAGTTCCTGCCACTGTGGTGTCACCCTGGGGGACAACTATGGACAATCGAGCATCTATGATCAATGATCTCAATGAGCCTTTCAATACTCCTAGAAACCTTGATTCTAGTAACTTCTTAAACAACAATACTATCAATACGAACTCTACTAATGTTGGTGCAGGAATAAATCCAAACATGGCTAGGGAACTTCAGCAGTTGAGACAGATGATCTCAAGTGTACCTGGGGTGGTCCAACCCATACCAGAAGCATCTCCAACAAGTCACATGATCTCGAGATTTTCTCCCGCGATAGCCGATACCGAAGTTCCTAAGCGCTTCCAAACTCCTAGCATGAAGCCTTACAATGGAACTACGAATCCTGAAGAGCACGTAGCACAATACCAAGAAAGGATGGAGATCATTCCCATCCCAGTACACTTGAAGGAAGCTTGCATATGCAAAGGCTTTGGTTCAACCCTTACGGGCTCAGCTCTTAAATGGCTGCTAAACGTTCCTCCTTATTCTATTACTTCATTTACACTTAGTCAATATTTTCAATAACCAGTTTTCTTGTAGCAGAACCTTCGAGAAGATCACTAGTGATGTCTATCGGGTGGTTCAGGATCCTAAGGAGTGGCTTAGATATTTTGTTAACAAGTTTGGCAAGGAAGCTCTAAGCATCCCCAACATCGACATGGCGACTTTTATAGAGGCCTTCAAAATGGGTCTAAGGAAGGATTCACCCTTCTATGAAGATCTTGTGATGACCCCATGCAAGAGGTTGGACGAAGTAAGGTGCCGAGCATTGAGATTCATAAGGCTTGAAGAGGCTAAAGAAATCCAGAAGAGGAGCAACTCTTCAAGTCAATACGAGAATCCCAACAGGAAGGCCGACTCCTCGGCCCCAAGGTTCTACAAATCGAAGCCCTATTCCAAACAGGATCACCACAGTGTTAATGTCGTCAAAGATGAAGGAGAAGAAGAGGAACTTCCGAAGATCACTAACTATTGTTTTTCTGTGGATGTTTTCAGGTATAATCCATGCTATGCAGGATCTCAGAGACAAAGCAAGATGGCCGAAGAAGGATAATAGTCCACCACTTGGAAAAAACAAGTCCAAATAGTGTGCTTACCACGAAGACTTCAGTCACACGACGGAGGATTGTATAGCCCTAAGAAAGGAGATCATCTACTTCCTTAACAAGGGGCACCTCAAGGAGATCCTCGGGAGAAAAAGAGAAAAGTCCAAGGACAACAACCAAGATGGTCACAAGATCCTGAAGAAACCAGGATCTCCACCCCAAACGCCAAGATAATTAATGTTATCTCAGGCGGATCTAAAATTTGTGGTACTTCTTACTCTCAGGCTAAAAAACACGCCAAGGTCTCTAAAACAACGAAGGAGGATAGACCACGGAAGAATATCGTGGTTAGCGATGATAAGGAAATCACATTTGACGAGACGGACAGGGAAGGGATCCAAGATCTTCACCATGACGGACTCGTGATAACACTGTACATGGCCAACCACATCGTCGGAAGGATCCTTGTTGATGCAGGATCCTCAGTCAACATCGTACTCCTAAACGCACTAAAAAGGATGAACATCCCGGAATCGGGGATAATCAAAAGATCCTCGGTCCTCATAGGATTTAGTGGGGAAAACGAAACACATTATTGGGGAGATAAAGCTACCAACATATATAGAGGGGGTAAACTCTATACAAAATTTATGTGTTATTGACACTTTATCTTCTTATAATGTGATATTAGGTAGACCATGGATCCACAAGATGAAACCGGTTCTATCAACATATCATAAGTGTGTAAAGATGCCTACTCCATGGGGAACAGTGAAGATCATGGGAGATCAACAAGAATCGAAGGAATGTTATAAAACCTCTATAAAGCTTACGACCAAACCCCAGCAAGCATAGCAATTAAGGCAGGGTCACGACATGTTCTAGAAACGAAGGAGAAAGATGTGAAGGAAGTGCCCCTGAGCATCGAGGATCCTGAAGCCAAAGTCCTCATAGGATCCTCAATACCTGAGCAAATAGAGTAAGATTTGTTAAACTTCCTTCAAACCAGAAGCAAGACATTTTCATGGAAACACGAAGATATGACAGGTATAGACAATAGTATTATCACTCACAAACTTAATATTGATCCTTCTTTCGGACCAATACACCA